GTCACTCTTTTTTTCAAGTTTTTTTTAAAAAGATTTTATTTATTTATTTGACAGAGAGAGAGACAGCAAGAGAGGGAACACAAGCAGAGGGAGGGGGAGAGGGAGAAGGAGGCTTCCCGCGGAGCAGGGAGCCCGATGCGGGGCTCGATCCCAGGACCCTGGGACCATGACCTGAGCCGAAGGCAGACGCTTAACGACTGAGCCACCCAGGCGCCCCCTATCAGTCACTCTTAAGCAGACATTGGCAAGCTTTTCCTGTAAGGGGGAAGGTAGTAACTATTTTAGGCTTTGTGGGTTACAAGATCTCTGTTCATAACTGGTCAACTCTGCCATTGTAGCATGGATGTAGCCATAGACAATATGTAAACCAATGGGTGTGGCTATATGCCAATAACATTTTATTGACCAAAGCACAGGCAAATAGGATTTGACCCCAAGTTCAGTCTGTGGACCTTTGCTCTTAAGGCAAAGAGCACTTGGGTTATTACTTTCTCTGTGGGACTCTCTGAGGGTTAAGTGCTCTATCTTGGTCACTTCTGCATCCCTTTGGACTTAGCAGGTGCTCAGTTAATATTTTCTGAATTGATGGTCCCCCCAGAGAATAAAGCCAATGGTGTGTGTGTCTCAGTACTTACTAGAGAAGGTGTCTCATAAGAGTTGCAGTACAGGGAAAGGCTAAGAGGCCTTCACCCTCTTCCCCCCCTTTCTCTCCTACCCAGCTCACTCAAGAAAGTTTTCTGGGCTGAAGGAGCTAATGTGAACACACCTCCTGGGGGCTGAGTGGGTGACAGACAGACCTGAGAAAGGGAAGGCTCTAATTTGGGTCCACTATCATTTGGAGTCTTCCATAATTGACAACTAGGCAGTGCTGGGGGAAAGAGGTGCATGCTGCTGATGGAAGGGTTCTAGTGTCTCTCAACATGCCTCTTTTTTTTAATGTTTTATTTATTTATTCATGAGAGTCAGAGAGAGAGAGAGAGAGGCAGAGGCAGAGGGAGAAGCAGGCTTCCCACTGAGCAGGGAGCCCAATGCAGGACTCGATCCCAGGACCCCAGGATCATGACCTGAGCTGAAGGCAGACGCTTAACCATCTGAGCCACCCAGGCACCCTCAACATGCCTCTTTTTTGTCTCCATTCCTAACTCTTCTTTGTGCCCTTTCAGCCCTTCATGTTGCAAAGTCTCAGATTAGAGCCTGTGTCCCTTCCCAGATGAGCACCTTTGCTGTGTTAGCTGCATGAATCTAGATGAGTAATGTGGGATGCACTGGCTTGGGGATCAGGAGCTTGTGGTTTAGCCCTGGCTCTGCTAATTGCCTGAGGGCCCTTGGCCATGACTTCTTCTCTCTGGGGTTCCCCCAGTTGGTCAATGTGGGTGTTAGTAGCTTTGTCCTCTTAATGCCCTTTCAGTCTGGTCACACTTACTGGGCAGAGAAACAAATCAAAAGCCCCTGGCCCTTGAGGAATGTAGTGGCTTGTTGGAGATCTGGACAGCTAAGCCAATGACTGACGGCAATGCAGGGTGGGCTCTGTAGGAAGCCAGAAGACAGAGACCGTGGGGAGGAAGCTGTGAGGAGTGAATGATGTTGGAGATGACGTTTGAAAGAAAAGGAGGCTGCAGGCCCAGCAGGACTAGATACCCCGAGGCGAGATGTGCAGAGAATGCAGCTGAGGAGCCAGAGGAACTTACAGGCTAGCCTGCTGGGGTTAGGTGGAGGGAGCGAAGACAAGGACCCACAGACAGAACAGCTGGCCACAGCCACCCTGTGGTCCATGACCACATGCAGATGAAGATGCTAATGAAGCCTGGGATCCCTACTCTGGCCTCTTCACCCTCAGCTTGTCTCTCTTGGACCCTTACCCAAAAGCCGGCTTCCCTACAGCTGCTGGTGCCCACCCCACTGGCTTGAATTTTGTATCGGGCCGCAGTCATCTTTGAAAAGCTAATCCCAGCTCTGTGCCTTCTCCCGACAAGACACACTCAGATGCCCCCAAGGCTGTGTCCAATTCCTGGGGTTCACAGACCTCCCAATTCCACACACTAGTGCCAGGCGAGGAACCTCTGCTCCAACCAGTCCCACTGGCTCTTTCCTTTTGTTGCTGCTGTTACCCTAGGATTGCAAGCCAGGCACGTGGTTACCCACATTTCTTGAGCACCCACTCTGTGGGGACACTGGTTGGCTCTGCCATCAAGGAGCTCCTGGCCTGGTGGGGGTGGGAGAAAGTACCCCGAGGGAACACACTAAATAGAGCAAAGACTGAGAGCTACAGCCTGGGAGCCCAGAACAAATAGATGATCTCCAGTTGGGAAGATCAGAGTAGACTTTTGTGGGGAAAGGGATCTGGCTATTCTGTAGTAGGGGACATAACAAGGAGAGGGCATGGCAGGCAGCCAGGGCAACCTGCGTAAGGGGATGTCTGACAGGTCATGAGCAGTATGGCTGGCGCACAAGTGCGAAGTCCAGTGGAAGAAGCTGGAAGGGTGGGCTGAGAACAGGTTGTGATAAACTGGCCACAGAAGGTGTTCAAGAGAAAGTTGGGACCCACTGAAGTGTTTTTGACAGAGGAGAGACAGATCTAGGTCTCTTTTAGGAAGGACAACCTGGAGATACATAAAGACTGGATCAGGGGAGGCAGACATATCAGCTTGGCTGTTCCAGTACACCTGACCCTGGTGCAGATAGGGCCAGGTGCTGAACCAGGTCAGTATCAATGGGGAGGGAAGAGGGACTGAAATGAGAGACCTCCCCAATGAACATGCAGAACTGAACACGGACTTTCAGCTGTCCTCAAGCTGGCAGACAACTGCCTTCCCTCTAGCCTGATTCTACAGATGGATGTGCCATGGAGGGTAGTGGAGGGAGGTGCAGGCCTAGGTCGGTTATCCAGGATGTCATTTTAGGGAAGTGTGCTGCAAAGTTATCAGCCATCAGAAAAGGGATGGGTTGGAGTGGCCTGGGGACTTAGGCTGGTGAGCGGGACAAGTTCAGTCTTGCAATGGCTGAGGCAAGGTTCTAGCTGGACTTGGTGACCTGGTGGGAGTCCACTTCAGTGGTTTGGAACCATGGGTGGGGCCCGTAAACACAGCAGCAGGCCCACTGAGTCTCCGCTCAAAAGGTCTGAGGTGGGGCCCCATCATTTCTAACGAGCTCCTAGGGGGTTGCAGAGGCTACGCTTTCTGGGCAGTCAGACTTTCTACAAACAGATGGGGGTGACATAGGTCTGAGTCAGGAATGCAGGGCAGAGCAAGGAGCAGCCATAAAATCTGTCTGGGGTAGGGAGGGTGTTTCCACTGTAATATCAGCTCCAGGCTGTGCCTGTTTTATTGACCACTGAAGCCCAGGCAGTGCCCAACAAACATGTAGAAAGAATGGGTGAATAAAACCAGTGAGCAGACAAGAGGTTCCCTTAGGAAGTAGAAGATACGAATAGATTGGACAGTCTGGAGTTCGATGAGGGACATCTTTTGTAGAGGCAGCTGCTAGCATTTTCCCAAGAGAGCTGAAAGGACAAAGCTGAGGGCACTTTGGTCTGTCAGCTTCACTCTTTTAGGCATGAGTCTCCTCGTAGCTGCTCTGAAAGCAGAGTCTATCAGTCCTATGCCCTGGCCTCCTCCTCCCTCCCACTCCTCATAGGAAATCAAGCAGCGAGCTCTGAGCTCTTTCCAGGTGCTTCAGCTAAAGCTTCATTTGTATTTCCATGGCTGCATCATTGCCCAGACCTTTGCCACTTCCTAACTGATCTCCCAGGCTCCACACAGGGTGGCGACATAAATTTCTTGATTTTTGTCCTCCACTGCGTAAACTGTCAATGGTTTCCCATGCCTATAGGAGACAGTTTAGCTCTCTTGGCTTGGCATCCTCAGCCCTGCTTATCTCTTCAGCCAACCCAACTTCCCACTACTCCACGCCCCCAACCCCAAGCCATGCTGGTCACTCCTGTACTTACTGAATCCAAGAAAGACAACACACTGTTAATGAGATTATAAAAAGCCACTGACTCTGAACCTGACCTTTCAGCCTGCAGTGCCACCTACGGGCCTGTACCTACTGACTATTCATTCTTCAAGTCCAATTCAGTGCCGTCACCTCCTCGTTGGAAGTCTCTTTGATGGTCTTGCCTGGAAGCCATGTCTCCCCTCCTTGAACTTACACCACCTTGTCTCAGGTGCATTATTTTTTGTCTGGTATTACAGGGGCTTGTGAACATATCTTGAGCTCCTCTATTCTAAGTGCCTTAAGGGCAAAGACCTTGTCTTACTTCTACTTGTGCTCCCTTGCCCCATCAACATAGCAGTCTCCCCTCAGGGGGGTGTGATGTTCCTATCACACAAACCTCATGGCATGTACAATATCTTCACTTTATTCCAGTGTCCCCCGCTGCCTCTCCACCCCTGGACAAAGGCAGAGAAGAAAACAGAAGTCTTTAACATTACATTTCGATTAGTCTGGGAAGAAATCAGGTTCTGTAAGCAGAACATCACCAGAAAATAGAGAACACTGAATCCTATGTGCTTTGCCTTTTGGAGACTGGCCTGAAGGTTTCTGAGTGTGAGCTGCAGAGAAACAGTCCTTTCTACATCATCTCATGGAGTTTCTGCCCAAACTCCAAGCAGATAAAGAATGCTCTTCTCTCTGACCTTTTCAATGGCTTACTGTCAACCAGCTCCACGTCCCATGTTAGAAGAGCTACACAGCTGAAATGGCAGGCCACTGGGGCACACTACCACCTTGTAACTAAAAAGGACAATGGGGCTCCGCTGATAAAGAGAGACACGTCAGGACGCCTGGGTGGCTCAGTCGGTGAAGCGTCTGCCTTCAGCTCAGGTCATGGCCCCAGGGTCCTGGGATCGAGTCCCGCATCGGGCTCCCTGCTCCCTGGGAGCCTGCTTCTCTCTCTGTCTGCCGCTCTCCCTGCTTGTACTCTCTCTCTCTCACATGCGCGTGTTCTCTGGCCAATAAATGGATAAACTCTTAAAAAAAAAGAGAGAGAGAGAGACATGTCCATGAAAGAATGTTTTATGAAAAAACAATGCAGGCAGGCACACCAGCTGTACCGGAGAGAGAACGTGGAAGCATATAAGGAGGTGCCCAACCAGAGGTCTTTTCCCTCTGGAGACTGATGGGGGGAGGGGTAACAATTATTTAAGCTTTTAAAAAGTTTTTGCTTTAAATTCTGCATCTATTTGAAGTTTCACCAAATGGATTGTTTTTTTCCCTACAGCTTCCTTGATTATGTAGAAGGATGCTGGAATGATAAGTAACCCAGGAGAGAGGAGGGGTGGGAGTGGGGGGGGTAGGGGAGAGGGAGAGGAGAACACAAAACAGTAGAATATGAAGCTGCCTGCTTTAAGAAATTCAAATTCAATCCAACAAATGGGAGAAATGCCTCCGGTTTCCTCCACCCTTGAGGTCATGGAACAGCTGGGTGTGCTCTCATCTAACTGGCAGGAGGAGACCTAAGCTCAGAAGAAAGTCACTTGAAGGAGGTTAGTTTGTTGGTCCACAGGGGAGAGTTAGTAGCCGGGGAAGGCACTGCGAGGGCCCAGTCTCTGGGCTGCATCACTTGACCTTCCGCAGGTAATAAAAACTCCGCACAGTCCTTTCTATAGCGTCATCCATGGTGATCAGTGGCCGGTAGCCCAGGACCTTTTGGGCTCTCTCACAGCTGTAATAGTGGAACGTGCCAGCCAGTGCGACACGCATCGGTGTGAAAGTGGGTTGGAGCTGGATGACAGGACTGACCACCAGCACCAGGAGGGACAGCAGGAGGGCCAGGTAGTAGGCCACCCAGTAGGGGATGTGGTACTTGGGGGCCTCATAGTTGAGGCCTGTCAGGATGCGGGACAGGAATGTCCAGAAAGGGATGGGTTCGTCATTGGTGATGTGAAATGCCTGGAGAGAGAACAAGAAGTTAGAAAATGCTCCCCAGCTGGCAGGCCACACTTGGAACTTGGAGCTCAGGCATAAGCTTCTGGCTCAGCCTGGGACCAATATTTTGGGAAGCCAGTGGCCTCTGCCTGCCTGCCCACCCAAGATCTCCAATCTGCAAACGTCAGCCAGTGGCAGAGATGCTTTTTTGATTTGGAGCTTTTTTGATTTGGGCAGACTAAAGGTATAGACAGGAAAGGTAAGTTTTATCTATGGGCCAGGATTTTTAACTGAAGCTTAGATTACACTCAGGAAAGTATGTCTGTTAATTTAATAATCATGTTAATCATGGTAAAACTCCTTATCTTCATATGCAACAACAGGTCACATGCCTTTTCTCAAATGTGCTGTATTTGGTCTAAAACAAAAGCCATACACCCACCCAACCTCCACCACCCTAAGTGTTACAGGAGTGGGAAAACAGCAGAGGTCCAGGAGAAAAATGAGATCCAAAGAGGGGGTTCCAAAGGGAGTAGTGAGAAACACGGAAGAGGGGGGCCCTGTGAATGGGAGGAGAGGGTGAGGGGGCCCTAATGTGTTCTCCCCTCTCTGCATGAGAGCTCACCTCCCTGACATGTCCATCCTGCCCACCAGGTGCCAGATGCCAAGAGACTGAGATACATCCACCCCTCCGGAGGGGTGAGAGGCATGAGCAAGGGTGGGCAATGGGAGAGAAATGAAGGGACTTCCAGAATGACTGGGAGGGAAGATGAGTAGCAAGCACCCCACTGAATGTACATGGGACCCTGCTGGGAGCAGTCACGTCCACAGGGGATCAACGTCGGACCAATGGGATCCTAAAGCAGATCAGCCAGGACCCAGGATCATGAAGGCAATTTGCCAATGAATCCAAGCACAGGGACATGCAGCCCGAAGACGGGCAAACGTGCATGGGGCAGGAGGAGAGAGTGCCTTACCTTCCCACTCACGGCCGTGTCTTGGGAGAGGTGCTCTGCAGCCAGGATGTGTCCGTGCACCACGTTCTCCACAAAGGTGAAGTCCACCAAGTTCTCCCCGTTTCTGTGGGCGTACGGGGCATGGTTCCACTGTTAAAGATGCTAAGGGGCCAGGATACCTGGGGCCCTCAGAGGCAGTGCAACATGTAAGGGCCGAGCAAGGAGTCTGAAAGCCCAGTGCCCTGCCTGCCCCATCCTGGCATGGCCCACACTCAGGGCTAAGGGCTTGCTTTGGCCTCTACACCTTTCTACCATCTCTTTCTAATCCCTCAAAGCAAGAAGACAGGGCAGCAGGGAGGCAAGGTGGCAATGGAAAAAAAAAAAGGAAGGAAGCAAAGGTGTACTGGGGAAACAGCCACGTGCTGTCACCACCCACAAAGGCCTCGCCACCTGCATTTTCCTTGAGAAGGAATGTGAACACCTCTACCAGCCTTCCTAGATCCAAGGCCTGGCCCTTGACCCTGTGCCAGTCTCCCGCCTCCCCAAGCCTCTTTCCTCAATTTTCAAAAAGGGACACAAATATTTTCCCAGGCTACGTGATGGTATACTAAGTTGAACAGGGTCCTACCCAAATTCATGTCTCCCTGGAACTTTTGGATGTAACCTCATTTGAAAATAGGGTCTTTGAAGATGTAATCAAGCTAAGATGAGGTCATACTGGGGTAGAGTAGGCCCTAAATCCAATGGCTGATATCTTTATAAGAGGGAAATTTGGATGTAGATACACAGAAAAGACGCTCACGTGAGGGTGGAGGCAGAGATTAGAGTGACTTGTCTACAAGCTAAGGAACACCAAAGACTGCTGGCCACCACCAGAAGCTGGGAGAAAGGCCGGGAACAGATTCTCCCTCAGTTTCCAGAAGGACCCCCTGCTGCCAACACCTTGATTCCAGACTTCTCGCCTCCAGAACTGAGAAAGAATTAATCTCTGTTGTTTTAAACCCCTCGGTTTGTGGTCATTTGTTGGGGCAGCCCCAGGAAACCAACACAGAGGGCAGCAGAAAAGGCGGCATTATAAAAGAGCTAACCAAGCAAGACTGATCCTTGTGAGGGGTCAGGGAGAAGACCAACTATGGGCCAACTTACCCAATCACGAACTTCATCTTGCCTTTCCTGGCTGCCTCGATGAGGATGGGGACCAACTGGGGGTCCCTTGGGCCGAAAATGCCATGAGGGCGAATGGCCATGGTTAAGAAATTCCCCTCAGGATCATTGGCACCCAGGACTGCCTGTAAAAGAGCAGAAGGGGCATGTCAGCAGCACCACTTACGGGGGACACAGAGGCTGACTTCTGCTCTGGTATAATTTGGGGCTACTTCTCTATCCTATCCACCCATACCACCCAAATTTGAAACCACAGGAGATACTGTGGTCAAAACCAGTGTGATCAGGGGCCCCTGGCTGGCTCAGTCGGTGGAGCATGTGACTCTCGATCTCAAGGTTGGGAGTTCAAGCCCCACATTGGGCACGGAGCCTACTTACAACAACAATATGATCAAAGAGAAAGGCCTGGGTTTGGGTTCCAGGACTGAACTGCACAAATGCAGCCAGGGGAAGATCTGAGGGTTCCAGGTAATGAGTCAGTCATGAGTCTCCTGCCTCTCCTGCCTTAAGTTCCACGGGCTTGTTTCCTCCAGTCCTGAGCTGTTCTCAGTTCTGAGTACCACCTCCTAGGAAGGGACTCTGATGAACCCAAGTGGGCCAGGAAGAAGGGACTGAGAAGGGCCAGGAAGAAGGGACTGAGAAGGTAAAGGGTCTGGGAGAAACAGGTCAAGTCTTCAGATATGTTCTGTGTCTGAGCCATGGCTGTCACTTGCACCTCCTGAGCACAGGAGGTGGGAGTCTCAGTGCCTTGGATGAGAGTACACAGGGCCCAGCAAAAGCCTCAGTGCTTCCTGGGTTAAGTCCTAGCAGGTGGCAGCTCTGTGAAGCTCTCTGTGCTCCAAGGAGCAGGGTGGCAGAACCTGGAGACAGGACTCCAGCTTACAAAAGGCCAGGCTTCCACCCCTGGATTGGGTAAGCCTTTGTGTCTTCTTGCAGACGGAGTTCTCCTGGAACTTTCTGACCTGGAGTGATAACAAACGGATGGGAGGCAGCTGGCTCTCAGGCAGCTCAGTGGAATTCACGCCAATTCAGCCCTAAGCTCTAGTTTGGTATGTGCTGGCTGCGAAATGCAACCTCAGTGGGTGTGACAAGCTGCAAACACCTGGGAGAGGTACTCACAGCTTCCCCAGCTAAGGCAACGAGCATCCATGGCCTTCAAGTGAGTATGTCCTTATGGTCATATTCTCCTTGGACATTAGTCCTGGAGCTAGCTGCTGTCAGGGTCCCTGGAGCCCTGGAGTCCAAAGGCGTAGTGCTCGTTACTCAACGCAGATTGCTGTTAAAACCACGTGCTCCCTGGCAAAGTTGGTTTGCCAAGCGGAAACCAGTACCTTACCAAGTACTTTTCCCTAAAATAAAGCAAGATCCTTTCATCGTTTAATTTAAATAAGGGAGGGGGGCAAGAGTGCCACTAGGAAGGTGTGTTCAAATGAAAACACTTGTGTGTTAAGCCCAAGTTCTGCCTGTGTGCTTGGGATCATCATCAATTGCCTCTGACTTCTATGGCAACTGAGTAACCTTGCATGGCCTAGAGGTTGAGTGCAGGCTCTGGAGCTAAACTGTGTGGGTTCAGCCACCTACTACTTGCATGACCTCAAGACGAAACTGAATCTCTGTGCATCAACTGTCCTCATCTAGAACCTGATGATGATAATAGTATCCACCTTATGGGGTCCTTGTGAAGTTTAAACGAGGTAGTTCCTGTACAATACTCTGAGCAGTGTATGGTCACATTAAGCTACTGTCATTATTTTTAAATTGAATCTCAGCCACAAATTTTACTTCCCAAGTTAGGTATGCAGGCCTGGGAACACTAACTGCATAAATATTTTTCTTAAAAATCTAAACCATCCAGATGTTCACGGAACTTGCTTGTCACTCAACCAGTTCTCAGGTACATACTCTCTCCTGTAAGATTTTTGTCTCCGTGTAATAGTCAATGGGTTTCACAGCATAAGGGAGGTCTTCGGTTCCATTCTTGATGTTGACACCCTCAAAGATGACACTGGCACTGCTAGTTAAAATGAGTTTCTGGCAGAGGAGAAAGGAAGATTACAAAATACAAGTAAGAAATAATCATTACTTAAACTAGCTGATGGTCATACATGAAAGAAAATCAAATGGCACCATGTAAATGATTTATTGCAATGCTTTGCTTTTCAGGCCTTCTTAAAATAATTCAAAGATCACCATCTTCTGTAGCTACGTGGATTCGAGACACACTCTAAAACAGAGGATTTCACCCTTTTTCTCTCCTATCACTACTGAGAGGTGGAATGGACTTCCATTATTTGTGGTATCTAAGTGTGGGAATGATTCCCCAAGGGAGAAGGATAGCCCACGAACTCTGAAAGAGATGCGCCGTGATTCTGAGACCAACCCTGCCATGTCAGCACATGTACACGCCCACTTGAGAAATGCTATTTGAAAGGAAATGCTTTCTTACAAGGGTCCCAGCTTCCAGCCCTCTGGTTAAGGGCAGCACATCCAACACTGAACACCATTAGCTCGAATCACAGCTTTACCACTTTTATTCAACATTGTACTGGAATACTTTGAAAAGAAGAAACAAAACTATCACCATTCACAGATGTTGGAAAAGTCTACATAGAAAACACTATGAACATACAGAAAATTTTACAGTTAGAGTTCAGCGGAACTGGTGAGTACAAAATCAATATACAAAAACCAACTCTGTTTCTATGCATTAGCAATTAAGAATGTAATACGGAAGATATTATTTCAATAGCCAAAAACTAGGTACATAGGGATAAACAACAAGATGTGCAAAACCTTTCTAAAGTAAAGGGTAAAAGTATTGAAAGAGAGAGAAAGAGATGATGTGTCTATGGATACAAAGACTCAGTATTGGCAAGGCATCCACGCCCTCCCAAACTGCTTTTAAATTTGATGCAATTATAGTAACAATTCCAACAGGAACTCGACAAGCTGATTCTAAGGTTGAGATGGATAAGCAAAGGGCTAAGAATAGCCAAGCAGGTTCTGAAGAACACGGTTCGGGGGTGACTTGTCCTAGCAGTTACTGAGATTCATCCTACAGCTTGCTTAGTGAAGGCAGAGCACAGTGGCAGGGAAGAGAGAGCTGACATGTGCTGGGTGGGGCACTGAACAGAGGGGAAAGGATGGATCACAGAATAAATGGTACTGAACAACAAAAATTCAATTGCTACCTCAGACCATATACAAACACAAAGTCCTGGTGGATTAAAGATTTAAATGTGCACAGTAACACTTTGAACCTTTGGGGAAAAACCCCACATTAAACAATCTTTTGATTTCACTGTTATGAAATGGTTCCTAAATACAACATGAAAAGCCATTTTCTTTTCTTTTTTTTTTTACTCAAGAGAGAGAGGGAGGGACGGATAGAGGGAGCACAAGATGGATAAATCTCAAAAACATAACGTTAGGGGGGAAAAAAAGCAAGTTGCGGAAAGATATATTGAATATATCGTTTCTATAAAGTTTTTAACATGCAAACTGATAACTTATATTGGCTGTACATGGAGCATATAGCAATGATAAACCCAAATTCAGAACACTGGTTCCCCGTGGGGTGGTGGGGAAGGACAGCAATGGCATGGAGAATGGATACACACAGAACTTCAACTCTAAAAGGTAATGTTACTTAAACACTGTGATGATTATATGGGTGCTATGTCATTCTTGAATCTTTTCTGGATAACTAGGTTATTCCATTTAAAAAACAGCAGCAGTGAAATTCACTGAGCTCTAGGTATACAAGCATGGTATAGACTAAGGAGTCTGGGATTTGGCATCAGAGTGTCTGATTTGAGTCCCACCTCTTTCATTTACTAGCAAAGAGACATCTCTTAGCCTTCCAAATCTGTTTCCTCACCTGTTAAGTGACATTAGTAGTTCCTGGTTACCTATCAAGGAGCAAATCAGGTGACAACTGCAGGGCAAAGTGTCTTGTCATTTGCAAAGCATAAGGGGTGGTTTTGACCATGATCCATCCTTTCTAGGGCACTGAGCCCTGAAGAGCTCCTTCCCCACTTGTTCTTGCTGGGCCAGCTGATGATGCCGGGTGCCCCATAAGGGTGATCCTGAGAACCAGCATTTATAACAAAGCACATGTGGAAATTTATATCCCCTCAGGTCTGAGCTATAACAGGTTTCCATTGGTGAAAAGTAAATAGTCTGAAAATAGAGGCAAGGTCTGGAAAATAGTATGGCAGTTCCTCGAAAGGTTAAACATAGGATTACTGTATGATCCAGGAATTCCATTTCTGAGTATTTACCCAAAAGAACTGAAAGCAGAGACTGGAGCAGATATTTATATACCTATGTTCCTAACAGCATGATTCACAATACTTTTTCAAAAGTAGAAACAACCCAAGTGTCCACTGACGGATGAATGGCTAAACAAAATATGGTCTATCCACAGGATGAAATGTTATTCAGTGGTAAAAAAGAAGGAAATTCAGACACATGCTACAACATGGATGAACCTAGAAGACATGAAGCGGAGTGAAAGAAGTTAGACGTAAAAGTACAGATACCGTATAAGTCCACTTCTTTGACGTCTCTAGATTCATGGAAACAGAATGTAGGATGGTGGGTGCCAAGGGCTTGAAGAGGAGGGGGTGGGGAGCTGGTGCTTAATGGGGATAGAGTTTCAGTCTGGGAAGATGAAAGTTCAGGAGATGGACGGTGGGGATGTTTGCACAGCAACGTGAATGTACTTGATGCCACTGAACTGTAAATTAAAAAACGGTTAAGGGGTGCCTGGGTGGCTCAGTCGTTAATCGACTGCCTTCAGCTCAGGTCATGATCCCAGGGTCCTGGGATCAAGCCCCGCATCGGGCTCCCTGCTCAGCGGGGAGCCTGCTTCTCCCTCTCCCTCTCCCCCTGCCTGTGCTCTCCTGCTCTCTCTCTGTCATAAATGAATAAAATCTTTAAAAAAATGGTTAAAATGGTAAACTGTATGACATTTTTTTAACCACAATAAAAAAATATAAGCAATATCGACATTTTATGGCTCTTTAACCAAAGACTAATAAGCCTTAGGGTCCTCAAATGGTCTATTGTGATGCAGCTCAAATTGGCCCAGCAGCAAATAGGACTCAGTTTCTAGGATCTTCACAACACTTTAGGAAGCAAGCCTGGCTAGGCCCAGGAAGAGAACGAGAAAAATCCTGGCTCCCGCACACTTAGAAAGGGCCATGACATGCTCCCGACAGCACTCACTCCAGCTTTCCCCTTACCTGAACTCCAGCCTCTTTGCAAGTTTCAATGACATTCTTGGTGCCAATGTAATTCACTCTATAAAAGAGTTCCTTGTTGTTACTGGATGGTGGGGGTGATGCACAGTGGAAAACTGTGCTTACACCTTTCAGAGCTGGGTACAGATCCTGGAAAAGCAAACAAAGACAAAAAAAAAAAATCACTCCCGCTTTAGACAAGTAAACAGCCTCCTCACATTCCCACACTCTAATCTGTGGTATGTAGGTGTCTTGCCCTTTTATAATTCTGTAATTAACATGAAAATACATCTCATTGTAAAAGATTCAAACAATATAGATGTACCTAGGACAGAAACCAAGTTGTCCCTTCAATTGCCCCTCTGCATTGACTGGTCCCCAGTAAAAACTGGGTTAGGGCATGAGAAACCTGTGGGATCCAGACAAAGGCAATATCTGTACCACTGTGCAGCATGGGGGTGGGGGCGTGTGACAATACAGGTAAAACTCCTGGGAAAATGAGCTCACAGATACAAATTATGAATCATATGAAAAAGTTCCGCCCCATGAAAGACAGTGCAAATAGCCAATACACAGGAGTATTCCTTTCTGTGAAAATAGATCTAGAACAGCAAGCTGAAAGGGAATGAAAACACGTCTGTTTAATTTACTGCTAAAAGGAACCAAAACTCCCGGGAGCAATGGCTGATTGCAGATCTGGGGCAGGAAACAGACAAGAAGAGCCAGGAACACCTTGTCAAATCAGAAAGTAAGGAAGCTAGCCAAGACTCCTGGGGTCCTGTTAAAAGGACTCAAGAGTCAACTTGAAGAGGCTCTCACTGTCCAAAGAAGGGACAATTTGATCACCAGGAAGAATAAGAATTCGTTCTGTAAACTAATGAGTACAGGGAAATGGCCAAGCAAAGAACTGAATTAAGAAACAAAGAGAGAATGATAGCATGTCACCATTTTCCGAAATGTTCATTAAGTAATAAGATCTAGGAATGATCATCAATAGATTAGCATTACCAAAAGAAAGACAATCATGACTTATGTGCCTAGATTCACTGATTATTAATATTTTGCCATAATTCTTTGTGTAGATACACAGACATATGATTTTTTTTTTTTCTGAAACCATTGGAGAGTAAGTTGCAGGCAATGTGCCACTTTGCCTCTAAACTCTTTACTACGTATCTTCTAACAACAAAGACATCCTCCTAAATACTGCTAAACAGTGATCATATACCAGAAATGTAACAGGATAGGACACTCTTATCCAATAACTTGTCTATATACAAATTTCTCCCATTGTCCCAATAATGTCCTTTAAAGGCATTTTTATATTTGGATCTAGAATCCAATCATAGATCATATTATATTTAGTCCTTATATCTCTTCTGTCTCTTTGAATCTGGAACATTCAGTGATGATTCTTACCTGGAACCATTATTAACATACTGGTTGCAAAATGGTAAAATCCTAATTCCAGCATTCTTTCTACTTTTATTAGCTGGCATTCCTCTGTAATGTAACCGATCCCCTTTATGCTAATTTACATGGATTCTTATTTTATTCAATGCATTACAATCCACTACTATTGTCTTTTGTGAGGCTTAAAAAATCCCAAATTTGGCCAGTGGGGGTTCTTAAGGTTGGTTCCTGTGTCCTTTTGACATGTTCCCATTAGTTTTTGAACACTTTTTTTTTTTTTTAAAGTAGGCTCCATGCTCAGAATGGAGCCCAATGTGGGGCTTGAAATCACAACCCTGAGATTAAGACCTGAGCTGAGATCAAGTGTCAGATGCTTAACGGACTGAGCCACCCAGGTGCCCCTGAGCACTTTTTTATTTTGTCCTAAGAAAATGTCTCAGGCTCACTTGGACTACCCCTGCTCAGAGTCCTGAATGGGAGCCCTGGTTCCTTTTATGGGCAATGGTGTCTAGAAATCAAAATATGAGCATTAGATATGCTGATTACTATTGGTGCCCCAGAGAAAAAAACTGAACCAGAGTCAGATCCAGCTTTTAGTCCATTAGAAATATAGTAATACAAGGCACAGATGTGACTTTAAATTTAGTAGTACCCACATCAAAAAAGTAAAAAGAAAACAGATGAAAATAATTGTAATGTATTTTAATATAAGATTATCCAAAATATTATCACTTTGACATATAATCAACAGAAAAATCATTAATGAGTTATCTATATTCCCTTTTTCTATTCTAAGTCTGCTTTACTGGACAGTGCAGTCCTAGGTCCTCCAGCTTACAGGAAACAATAGAGGAGAGAGGGACATAGCAAACAAAACCATGGGGATGCAATCTGCGAAATCCAGTCCATGGGAAATGCTATGGGACAATCAATACAGTTTAAAATAAACATCAGTTATTCAACAAACAAAATGTGAAGGGGAACTTATAGAAGAGACTTAACTAGTTCAATCAACTTCAACGTCTTAACCTTTTTGGTTCCTTATTTGGGAAGAAATCTACATAAAAATACTTATTAGACATTCAGGGATATTTGAACACAGGCTGGAAATTAAGGACTTGTCAGTATGTTTTAGGTGTAGTCATGGAATTGTGTTTTTAAAACGGCTCCTTTAAGTCTTACCAAAAAAGGTGTGTGTGTGTGGGGGGGGCACCTGGGTGGCGCAGTCGGTTAAGTGTCAGACTCTTGGGTTTGGCTCAGGTCTAATCTCGGGGTCATAAGATCAAGCTCTACCCTGGGCTCCGTGCTCAGCGTGGAGCCTGCTTGAGATTCTCTCCCTCTCCCTCTGCCTCTCCCCCTGCTCGTGCTCTCTCTCTCTCAAATTAATAAATACATCTTTAAAAAGGCTCCTTATCTTTTAGAGACAAATACTGAAATATTTACAGAGAAAATGAAAATGGTGCCTAGGATTGGCTTCAAAATAATCTGAGGGTGGGGTGGGGATATAGGTGAGACTGGACTGTCCATGAGTGGATATAAAACAGAGGAAATCTATAAAATATTACAAAGACAGAAAGTGAAAGAACACACGAAGGAGAAACTAACAGACATGTAGATTATAATGAAAGACTCTACTGTATGTCCAGTAAGGCTTCCAGAAAGAAAGAAAAGAGAGAATGGAGGTAGAGTCAATATTTGAAGAATTTTCCAGAAATGAGGAAAGGCATGAGTCCTCAGATTTTAAAGGTCCACTAGGTGTTGAGTAGGTTTTAAATATAAAACTAAAGCACAGACCTAGACATATTCTCTACAAAACACACAGGATAAAAAAGAAAATCCTAAAAGGCATGAGAGGGAAACCCAGCTGATCGTCAAAGGAATGATGATCAGACTGAGTGTCAGGAAGAATAATTATGGACCGAAAATTCTGCCCCCCTCCCAACAAATCAGCATTTATGAGAGACGGTGAAATAAAGACATCCTCAGGCATACAAGGACTCAGAAAGTTTAGTGCCCAGATATTCAGTGAGGGATGCTAAAGGAAATGCTTCAGGAAGAAGAGGAAGGAACCTGGAAGAAAGAAATGGGAAACAAGAAGTACTGATGAATGAATTCAGGAATATGGCACAAAAACTAAGTTGTGACTTACAAACCCATTTCTAAATGTCCTTTGCCCTCTTCATGTCCTCCTTAGCCTGGACTTCATGATCCATCATTGCAATCTTGGCCTTGTCCATGTCTGTCTTTATCAAGTTGGTCTGGCAAACTCTGGCCCTGGTTAAGTGCAACTCTCTCCTTCTCCCTGCCGGTGTCTGAGAACAATACACCATGGTGGCGGGTCTCGCTTTAAGTTTGTGTTTAAAAATATCTGTAAATTGGGGCACCTGGCTGGCTCAGTCGGTTAAGCGTCTGCCTTTGGCTCAGGTCACAATTCCGGAGTCCCGGGATCCAGCCCTGCATCGGGCTCCCTGCTCAGAGGGGAGTCTGCTTCTCCCTCCCCGCTCACCCAGCTCGTGTTTTCTCTCGCTCGCTCGTTCTCAAATAAATAAATAAATAAAATCTTAAAAAATAAAAAAATCTGTAAATAAATACTAGCAACAATATCATGGGAGTTAATAGAGAGCTGGGGGAGCAGTTTGGAGAGAAGCTGAAGTTTGCTAAGGAGCCTCATCTCCTTTGAGGGGACACAACAGTGATCAAAAGAGACAATATCCCTGCCTTCATGGAGCTTACCTTCTATGGGGGCGGTGGGCAGAGAAACCAGTAGATACAGAGTACATCAGTCAGTACCAAGTGTTATACAGAAACCTAAGGTAGAATAAAGGAGATCCGGAGGCTTGTTGCTTAGCGTAAGTTGGTCAGAGACTTAAATAAATTTAGGGAGCAAGCTCTGTGGTTCACAAAGAGCATTCCCGGCAGAAAGAGCAGTGAGTACAAAGGTCCTGAGGCAGAAACTCAGTTGGTGAGTTTGAGGAGTAGTAAAGAGGCCAGCGTGCCTGGAGCAGCGCAATGAGGGAGTACAGAAGAAGGTGAGGCCAGAGAGGTAGTGAGGGCAGGTCATGCAGGGCCTCAAAGTGATGATAAGGGCCTATATGTTTGCTCTAAACAGAACTGGACCACTGGAGGCTTCTGAACAGAGGGGTATCATGATTTGATTCATGCATTAATAGGGTGGTGGCTTGGACCAGCACAGCAACAAATGAAGGAGTGAGAAGTTGCTGGATTGGGGATCTATTCTGAGAGTGCAGTCAACAAAATCTGCTGATGAATGGGATGGAGGGTACAAGAGAAAGAATCAAGGGTGAATCTAATGTTTTCGGCCAAAGCAATTGGAAGGACAGAGTGGGCCATTTATTGAGACGGACAGGACTTTAGTAGGTTTGCTGTAAGTGGGGGAGGGGACTTGCAGCAGGGAACTAGGAGCTGAATTTTTTTTTTTTTTTGGAGCTGAATTTTGAATATGGCAAGTCCAAAATGTCTATTATGTACCCAAACAGAGATGTCCAGCAGGTAGCTGGACAGATATGAGTCTAGCAGAACTACAGGCTGGAGGTCTCGAGCTGGGAGCTTGTCAGCCCCTAGACTGTATTTCGTCTGTGAGCCAGGGGAAGGGGGGGATTTGATTGGACATTGAGTGTGCTCAGAGAAGAAAAGAGATCCAAGCGATAAGCTCTGGAGCCTGCCACATTTAGAAATTATAGAGATAAGGAGACAGAATGGCAGGAGGAGAAATGGGCAAGTGGGGTGTCCTAGGCTTGGCCACTGGATCTGGTCGCCTCCAGGTCCCTGGTGGTTGTGACAGGGGCTGTTGGTGACAACCTAGCTGGAGTGCTTGTAAGAGACAACGGAATGAAGCAATCAGAGGCGGCAAGAGCCAATGGCTCTTTGAGCTCTCCTGTGACAGCACAGAGAAGTGGGACCTCTCCCATCAGGGCATTTTGCTTTCTTAAGATGGGTGATCCTGCAACATGTCTGTGTGCTGTTGGCTATGACCGGGTAGAGAAGGATCCATGGCTGATGCAGGAGAAAAAGGCCAGAATCCCTAGTGGAAGCACTGAGTGGGAAGAGGAGGGTTCCGGGTGGCACCTGGAGCATTTGCACGGATGAGGCACGTGCAGAACGCAGGTGTGGTCTCAGGCAGGTCTGAGGATACGGTGCCAGGAGATAGCATGGGCCCGGCTTGGAGGCCGTGGCCATGAAGAAAGAGGCAAAAACATTGTATTTTCTTCTCCAGCCCCGTTCAGCTGCCCAGGGGCTCCCAGGGAAGAGGAAGAATCAGATTTAAACAGGGCTGGGGTTATACCTAGGAAGTACAACCTGATGCAGAAGTTTATGTGTCCCTTGGTGAGGCTCCAGTCCCATTATTCCATCAAACACTGGTTTAGGTACTGCTGTAAAGGTATCTTATAGCTGTGGTTAGCATCTGTAATCAGTTGACTTTAAGGACAGGCGATTATCCTCCGTACTCTGGGTGGGCTTCATCTAATCACTCAAAAGGCCTTAAGAGGAAACCATGAGGTTTCTGTAAGAAGAAATTCTGCCTTGGGACTGCAGCATCACCTCTTGCCTGAGTCTCCAGCCTGCTGGTCTGCCCTGCAAACTTCAGTCTTGCCAGCCCCACACTCACACGAGCCAATTTCTTTCATTAAATCTCATTCTATCCCCCTCTCTCTTTCCCTCTTCCTCTCCGTCTACATACACACACAGCCTACTGGTTGTTTCTCTGGAGAACCTGGACTGATAGAGACAAGAAGAAAGAGGCAAGGGGGATAAGTGTTATGCAAGAGAGCAAGTCAGTCATGGACTCAAAGGCAGTGAGGACACAAACAGGGTGAGGGGCCGTGGCAAAGAGCCAGATGTCTGGGTGTGGTTTCAGAATTGGTACAGTGCAGGTATTAGCGGGCCCGAACTAGAAAGATAGGAGGTGGCGCTCAGAGTGGAGGGCCTGCAAGTGAGATCGCGGAGAGGACACATTTCCCGGTGACACGAGGCCTGGAGGCCAAGAGGAGTGAACGAGGGGAGGCCAAGCAGAGGTGAGGCATGGGTACTGGCAGGGTCATGTGTGAATACTGAACTCATCAGCAATTAGGACAAGGCTGACCTTGGCCAGGAACTAAAATCACTAAGAAATGAGATGGAGCCACCTGGGAAAGGTAGGAAAGGGAGCAGGTGCCTGTGGAGGACTGTCACAAGGAAGGGCACTGGGGTATACACAGTCCGCCAGCATCACCTGCACAGCCAGAGGGATCTTCGGGCAGGGAGGAAGTGGCAATGACGAACAAGGAAGACTTCTACCCCATCTCCAGGCTCAGAGGCGTGGGCAGTGTGGGAGAGAAAACAGCCTGCGTGGGCAGTGTGGGAAGCCGTGTCCTTAAAATTCAAAGTAACAAAACTATAGCAAATGATGCCAAAGCTGAGAATAAGAACCCACTGACGGGCTGAGGGAAGCTATCTGTGACACAGCATTCCAGACAGAAAGGAATCACAGAGCCATAAGAAAACCAATGTAAGCCAAACACAATGGACAAAGGTCACCACCCGGCAACTTCACAGAGGATCAACAGAGAGCACAGAGCCTGGCATCCTGAAGACGGAGGGCACATGACTGTAAGCCTCACCAAGGTACCATTCCACAACCTTCCGAATGGCGATACCAAAAAGTCTAACAAAGACATACAACAGCGGCGATCCTAACCACGCCGTCGGTGTGAATGGAAAATTGACAGAGCAGCTTTGTTGAGCAATCTGGCAACATCTAATAAATTCAAAATGTTAATACCCTTATGACACAGGTAAAGCTTGCAAACATGACGTCAGCTCAGTGAAAGAAGCCAGTCACAGCATGATTCCACTTAGATAGGCACATCCAGAGAGATAGGAGATGAGTGGTTGCCAATGGCTGGGAGGGTAGTAGAGGAAAAGGGGAACAACTGCTAATGGGCCTAGGGTTTTCTTCTGGGATGACGAAAATGTCCTGGAATGAGACAGAGGTGATGGTCACAAAACTTTGTGAATATACTAACAACCACTGAATTGTATATATATTTTAAAAATGTTAAATTTACAGAATGTGAAGCATATCTCAAGGAAAAAAACCCCTGAAACCCAGCAATTGCACTTTTGGGTATACAGGTGACCCTTGAGCAACATGGGTTTAAACTGCACGGGTCCACTTATATGTGGTTTTTACATAAATACAGTACAGTACCATGAATGTATTTTCTCTTCCTTACGGTTTTCTTTTTCCAGTTTTTGTTTAAATTCCATTCCTTATGGTTTTCTTAATAACATTTTCTTTTCTGTAGTTTACTTTATTGTAAGAATATAGCATATAATACATACAACATACAAAACGTGTGTTAACTGACTGTTTATGTTACCAGTAAGGTTTCTGGTCAACAGTAGGCTATTGGGGACTTTTTGGGGAGTCAAAAGTTGTACACAGATTTTCAGCTGTATGGGGGGTCCATGCCCCTGACCCATGTCATTCCAAGGTCAACTGACTACTCTGGAACAGTAGTAGGCACACTGTAGCCCGTGGACAACTTTGTTTGTAAATCAAGTTTTATTGGCACACGGCCACACCCATTCATTTATGTGTGGACCACGGCTGCTTTCACACTACCATGGCAGAGTGGAGTTGTACTGACCAAATGTGGGTTAAGTTCTTTCCTGTAACTTTAAAATTTCTCAAAAACATTTTTTTTTGAAACAATATGGTTGACCTCTGAGCGGGGGAAGCCTGGTAGTTTCCTTTTGGGGGCCCTGTGGAAAACTGGCAAGGCTGGGTGGTCCGTTACCTGTTGGCTGCAGAGGTCTCCCAGAAAGAACTGCACCTGGGGATTGTCAAACCCTTGCCGCATATCAAATACGTTGACAGTGTAGCCTCTTGCCAGCAACTGCTCCACCATGTGCTGTCCCAGGAATCCAGAACCTCCGATCACTGTGCACTTATTGGCCTGAAGAAAAAAAGGGTGGTAGGCGGGACGTGAGAACTGGAAGCTATAAAGAGCCTGGACTCACATGTTCATGAGCCATCGTAATGGCACCTCCATCTGTTTGAAATTCTTCTTGCATCCAGTTGGAAGCTTTATATAAAGTACCAGTGGCACCCTTGTCTCCTGGATCAGTTAAGGAGGAAAGAGAGACAGCAAATGAGTCTGAGATAGATTTTGGCTGGATTGGATGATCTTATACCAATGATCAAAACTGAACAATACAAAAAACCCAAAAGTGATACCTTCTTGCTTCCAATAACTGATCCCTTGGCACTTCTAAGGCAAAACAAACAGAAACAAAACAAAACACAACACAACACAACATGCCACCCACTCAATGGACAATGTCCACTTAAACTATCAGAGAGAAGAAAGCAAAGTCTCTATACTCGCAGGAGAAAGTCAGCTCCTTTTCCTCCCCAACCATTACAGGGCTGGGCTCTGTGACTTTAGGCTTGTCACCTACCCCCTTCCTGCCTTCGTGTATCCAAGACTGCTGCCGTCTCATGGGATCTCCTGAGGGGTTGCAGGGAGGATCAGTAAACTGCTAATCAGCCAGGCCTAGGGCTTTGCTTTTCCTTCTCTGAGCTCTGAGCAAGTTGAGGTATCAGGGAAGAGCCACGGTGTTTACATTTCAGCTTTTACAACATGCGCACTTTCTTGGCTAAATTCCAATTCTGGTAACTGGGGGTAATGGAAGGACAGAGCACCAGAGGCGGGCACTTCAATATTCTGATACCGGGGAGGCAATGCAAAACTGTCTGTTGCATCCTGATTAAGCTGGCTCCGAGTGTCTCCAAAGGAGGGCCTGTGATATCCCTCCCCGCTGGGGTCTTTCTAAAACCGTATCTGGGCTTCCTGAAGATGACAAACCGCCATTCTCCCTAAGCTCATGTACAGTCAATCGAAGTTGGGAGTATGGAAACTAAAGATGTTAAAGAAATTCTGCTCCTGATTCGAAAACAAACAACTAACCCCCCTATTTAATCCTTAAATACCTATACAATTGAGATATGCAGGAGACTCAACAGGTTCCCAGGCCCCTTCTACAGATTCACCCCTTCAACCTGGTGTCCCGTCTAGACTGGCATTTTTACTGGAGTCTGCTGGGCCACCTGGAGATGGCTCTGGAGCTCTGGCATTTGTTCAGGCATGTGCATAATCTACTGACATAATCAGCCTCGCCATTCCACGCCACCCACCCCAACCAAATGATCTCTTCAATCCATTTCTGTATAGGTTTTGTTTTGATTACTCTCATATACGTGTAATCATACCATGCTAAACAATTTGCACTTTCACTGAAACTTCTAAGACATGCCCAGGACACAGGCAAATTAAATTACGCAAATTCCATTTGATCCTCATTTGGGCTAGCCCTTCTCCTTTTCTCAAGTCAGCTGTACAAGAAAATGCAGTTTTTTAGAATAACTCCAAGCCTCCCTGCTCCCCAAACTGATTTTTCATTGGTTGCTGAAAGTTTGCCTGAATCCAAAGAGGTTCAGACTAGACATGTTCTGATGGTATCCCAAAGGGTTTCAGATTCTCTTGGTTATATTATCTGGCATCTCTAGTTACAGTTGTTTCAAAGTTTGATAGTATAATTTTTTTTTTTAAATCAAATAACCTTTCTGTTACGTCCAGTGTAATTTCATTTCATGATTTTAAATGTGAGCAATCCTTTTTTAAAAAAGATTTATTTATTTATTTATTTGAGAGAGAGGGAGAGAGCGTGTGCGTGCAAATGGGGGGGACAGAGGGAGAGAGAATCCCCAAGCAGACTCCCCACTGAGAGCAGAGCCCGACTCAGGGCTCGATCCCAGGACCCTGAGATCATGACCTGAGCTGAAATCAAGGGTTGGACGCTTAACCGACTGAGCCACCCAGGCGCCCGAAATGGGGGCAATCCTTAATTCTTCCCTTTGACAGAGTGGTGTGGATCTTTTTGTTATATTGAAATGCGGCACCAATATTGCTTGGAACAAGCGAGCCAATGGCTATCCCTCAGAGATTTATGAGAACTGGCATTTACCCCAGAGAAGTCAGGTATGTGATGGGACAATGACTTTAATCACACCTATAATACTACATGGTTAGAGATCATGTGAAATAACTACTTGCTTTTTATGGCCATGAAAGATGATGCAGAGGAAGTGGGCACAGCGGACAAGAAGGAATATGTACTAACAAGTAAGAATAAAACTCCAAATTGAAAACAGGTAGTGAGATTCAAGAATGGGTTACCGGGGGAGTTACAAAATCAACATCTTGGAGAGAGTTTTAAGAATAGAAAAGAAAGCCATCCAAATGATTTCAATTGCACTATGATCTTGAGCTAAGAGAATAGTCTAGGGCCCTGGGTGTCTTTTAACCTGTTCTGTTTTCCTTTGTCTCTAGCAGTGGGCCTCTTTTCAGAGAACTCTTACACAGAACATATTATAAAGTAAGATGAAAGTGTTCTTTTTATTTCAGTAGTTTAAATGTATAACTTATACTTCTTATAAAGTCAACCAATGAGAACACCACTGATACAACCATTGAAATGTACATTTTTTTGGCAACTAGACTCTCACATTAACCTTCAACTACAGAGGCACATTAGAGGCTTTATTCTGAGCTACACACGAAAACCAGGAGGATCTGGTGGTCCAGGGAATCTTCTGGGCATCTATAATTTATTAACATTTGATATAAACACATTTTACCTTGGTGTGATTTCATTTCTGAAGTGTTAGCATTCATTAAAAGTGAATCAAAGAATCAAACCCAACATCTGCAGATCTACACAAACAACCTCCAGGGAGCCTGACAATTCCTTAAAGTCCTTTCTGATACTTGCAACACTAGATCTTAGGAGTCCTTGCTATTGCCATTATGATTACTGGGGAAGCCTTCTGCCAAGCCTAGTCTAGCCTGCTGGAGGCCACATGAAGGCAAACCAAGGCACCGGGCTGATAGCCAGCAGTTACCGCCAGGCATGTGAGTGAGGCTGTGTGGAACAAACACCTCAGGGGGTCCCCATGACTGCAGGTGAGGCCAGACGAGATCAGCCAAGGACCCCCAAGCCAGGCCCAGCCTGAATCACAGAATCATGAGCAAAGAAATGGATGTTGTTTTAAACCACTATGTTCTGACATTGTTACACAGCAAGAAGTAACTGATACCTTAAATAAATATATGTATCTTATATAAAAAGTCAACTTTGATTGATTTAATAAATGTACTGAATACAATTTTTGACCCACAGCTAGTATCAATGGTTTGCTGGTGTATGTGTGCTTGACTTTCCCCTTATCTGGTTTTGGTTAACCTTTTTTTGTGTCAGTACTTACATTTGGAATGTCTTCTGTCAAATGTGTCCATGTGACCTGATCTCTCACTGGCTCATCAAATGCTTGTTCCATTTCAGCTCCAAATACGGTTATGCTTGTGATGAAGTTTTCTCTTCATAAAGACATATTTAGAGACAGACATTTATGTTACATAAACTGAAACATCTTTTAGGTGTTCGTGTTTTTGTGTGGATGCCATTCCCGTCGAGTTTTCACAAAGAGCTGAACTATAGCTGTAGCTGTTAAATAAAGCCCTCTGTTGAACACCCCTGTGACAGGCTTCTCTCTGACACAAGGGTATAACTGGGCCCATAACTCACCATACACTTGGATTAGAGGCAGAGTGGAAAGCGAGTTAAATGACCTCATTGTCCATTTACAACAAAAGTAAAATCTGTGGCACTGTAGCTTTTTCCATGGCGCTCACATGCTCCAATTGTCCTGTTTCTCTGTGTTGATCATTGCATTGCGGTAGCACAGTGGGAAAATGCACAGACCTTGGGAGTCCCGGGTTCTGGTGCCAGCCCTACTACAAACTAGGTAAATATGCTCAAGTCCTGTCTCTTTGCTGCAGCTGAGTTTCCCTTAAATGGACTAAGTGCTCGTCTCCATGACGCTAGGGCAGGGGCTGCTGGCAGCAAAGAGTGTTATAGGAGACAGAGCTCTTCTTCTTGTTGAAATTAAAGCCACCCTAACTATATGCAGAAGAACTCAGTGTCTGGGGCCATCAGAAGCCCTCGGGAAATGGTCCCAGTATGGTGGGGACCGAGCACTACACAACTGGGAGACAACGCCAAACAGAAGAGTAGTTTATAGGAGAAGCTTTTGTGACAGCTCTTAGGATATGCTCCTCTCTTCATTCACCCATAATACTGACTTGCAAACAAAAAGCAGCGTTCAGTTTTGGGTTAGATGTATTTGGTCTTATATCTGTTTTCTTCATAGTGGTCAATGTACTTAAGTCATGGATCTCCTAACATCTGGAGATGGTGACATCTGTGACAAGGAAAACAGTCTAACTGCTTGCAAAAAGCTAGATTCAGAGAACACTCATTGGTGAGAAGATGGCTGCCACGCAAAGACGCACCCAGGCGTCCCGACGTGTCTCTCTTTATCAGCGGAGCCCCATTGTCCTTTCTAGTTACAAGGTGGTAGTGTGCCCCAGGGGCCTGCCATTTCAGCTGTGTAGCTCTTCTAACATGGGACATGGAGCTGGTTGACAGTAAGCCATTGAAAAGGTCAGAGAGAAGAGCATTCTTTATCTGCTTGGAGTTTGGGCAGAAACGAACTCCATGAGATGATGTGTGAAGGACTGTCCCATGGGGGACATTTTAGGGTAACATATCTCTGAAATCATAATGGAAGTTATCAGGAAAATGTATTTCAAAACTTCACTTATGACCTTTTCAGATGCGTATTATGAATAAGCAAAGCTGATCTGTACTTCTATGCCTATCCCATCCCTCCCTCTATCTCATAATCCTCTTTATATTCGTAAGGGGCTCTGTCACCTGTTCACTCTAAACAGATGTGACTGGTGAGCTTTAATTCATTCGGTTCAATGTGTATCAGATGGGGAACGAGGATTTGGGCACTTTGGGGTACTTGCACCAAGGCCGAGCAAACAGCTCCCAGAATTCTGTCTGTCTTGCTCACCACTGTATTCTGGCGTGAAGTGCAGGGCCTGGTACTCATGAGTCCAGCGGATATGGGAGTGCCCACTTTGTACCAGCCCATGCAGACCACCTTCTGCTCTCTACCACACAGACACCCATCTAAAATGCAGGAGCTTCACTGAGGGCCAGTGGGTTTATTATATTTTGGCAGTGCTACACTCACAAATACCCACTGCTGGCTTCTTACTCTATTTCCCAGATACTTGAAGCAGCATGAGGAAATGAGAGGGCAGATGGTATTTGGAGTGATGTGGCCATGAGCCAATGAACACCTGGAGCCATCAGAAGCTGGAAGAGGCAAGGAAGTTTCCTCCCTTAGTGCCTTCGGAGGGCGCATGGCTCTACAGACACCTTCATTTCAGACTTCCGGCCTCCAGAACTGGGAGAGAAGAAATTTCTGCTGTTTTAAGCCAAGTTTGTGGTTGGTTGTTATAGCAGCCATAGGGAATCAAAACAAGTATTCTTTGCAGTTCTGAAATCCAAATAGCACAGCTGCCAATTCCAAAGCCCCCTGTACTATTAGAAAAGCAAGAAGCCTTTAAGCCTGTTCCCCACTTGATCTCTAGCGGAAGATCTGGGAGGTGAAAGAAGAAACCCATTTTGCTGCCATGATCCATACCGTTCAAACAGCGCTCACTCAATCCTCAGCAAACCAGCTTCCTGTAGAAACAAAAACAAAATCAAATCTACTTTGTCTCAAATTATATACAAATTATTTTAAAGTCTGTAAATACTATGAGCCAGTTCAGAATGTTGGTGATACTTTAGTTGTCTCTAGGGACTAGGGTACCCAAGACTAGCTCAGGAAATGAGTCAGATTCCACTGGTAACCCTCCCCAACCTAAATTCCCCATATGATATACACTCAGATTAAAATGAACACCAAGAATAGCTCTGATTGAATAGACACTTCTTCAAAAAAGATACACTTTACAGATGGCCAATGAGCAGATGAAAAGATGCTCTATACCACTAATGATTAGGGAAATGCAAATCGAGACCACAATGAGATACCACCTCATACCCATTAGGATGGCTATTATCGAAAAAGAACCCAGAAAACAGAAAATGACAAGTGTTGACGAAGCTGTGGAGAAACTGGAAGTCTTGGGCACTGCTGCTGGACTGTGAGAGACAGCATGTAGTTCCTCAAAAAATGAAACATAGAATCACCATAGGATCAAGGAATTCCATGTCTGAGTATATAGCCCAAAAAACTGAAAGCAGGAATTTGAACAGATATTTGTACACCCCTGTTCACTGGCACCACTATTCACAATAGCCAAAAGGTAGAAGTAACCCAAGTGTCCATCAATGGATGAATAGAAAAACAAAACGCAGTATTATTCTGCCTTAAAAAGGAAGGAAATTCTGGCAACTATGGAATGGGAGAAAACATTTGCAAACCATGTATCTAATAAGGGTTTTTAAATAATGGGCTAAGGACTTGAATAGACATTTCTCCAAAGAAGACATACAAATGGCCAACAGGCACATGAAAAAATGCTCAATGTCACTAATCATTAGGGAAATGCAAATCAAAACCACAATGAGATAGCACTTCACTCCTGTCAGGATGGCTGTTATCAAAAAGCCAAAAGATAAGTGTGGGTGAGGATGTGGAGAAATTGGAAGCCTTGCACACCGTTAGATGGAATGCAAAATGGTACAGCTCCTATGGAAAATGGTATAAAAGATCCTCAAAAAATTAAAAATAGAACTACCATATAATACAGCAATCCTACTCCTGGGTATATATCCAAAAGAATTGAAACCAGGATCTCGAAGAGATAAATATTAGCCCTCCGATGCTCATTATAGTACTATTCACAACGGCCAAGATGGAAACAACCTAAATACTCATTGACAGATGAATGGATAAAGGAAATGTAGTCTAACCATACAATGCAATATTATTCAGCCTTAAAAAGGAAGGAAATTCTATTATATGCAACAACATGGATGAACTTTGAAGACATTATGCTAAGTGAAATAAGCCAGGCACAGAAAGACAAATACTGCATATTCTACTTATATGAGGTACCTAAAATGGTCAAATTCAAAGATTCAAAGAGGAGAATGGTGGTTGCCAAGGGTTGGGGAAGGGGGGCAGTGGGGAGTTACTCATCCATGGGCATAAAGTTTTAGTTTAGCAAGATGAGCAAGCTCTAGAGATCCCCTACACAACACTGTACCTATAGTCAACAATAATGTATTGTACACTTAAACGTTTGCTAAGAGGGTAGATCTCATGTGCAGCGCTCTTACCACAGCAAAATAAAAATGAAAAAAAAGGCAGGAAATTCTGACATGCTATGACATGGATGAACCTTGAAGACAGTATGCTAAATGAAATCAGCCAGTCACAAAAGGTCACATGCTATATGATTCTACTTATATGAGGTAATTATAGTAGTCAAATTCATACACATAGAAAGTAGAATGGTAGGTGCCAGGGGCTGGGAGGAGGGGGGAATTGGGGAGTTAGTATTTGGTAGCTCTAGTTTCAGTTCTACAAGATGAAAAGTTCTGGAGATGGATGGTGATGACAGTTGCACAACAATGTGAAATGTACTTGATGCCACCCACTATCCTCTTGAAAATGGGCTCAGAATAGCTCTGAATGGGAAAAATAAGACCCCAAAGAGCAACACTCATGGGGCTGGGATTGTTAAAGTTCACATATCAGAAGCCTCACGTCTTTCTCCTTTACAAAGTTATGTCTTTGAATCCATTAAAAACCAGTATGTATGCCCTCCATACACACTGGGACAAAGCCTTAAACTAAAACAACAACAACAACAACAACAACAACAACAACAACAAAACCTAGGAAGAGACCAAGTGAGCCCAATCTCCTCCTTCCTGCTGGGGCAAGTCCCCAACAACTAAGTCCTGGAGGCAAAAGGAAAGGACAGTCTGTCCACTTCAAACCAGACAGAAAGACAAGTGTTTTCTCCTTTGAAAACATGGGAGATTGGCTTCTTTGTAAAGATGAAATGCAGAGCAATTCAGAGGGGCGTGTTAGGGTGTGTGGGGGTGGTCGGGGCCCTGTCTGCTGTCTTCCATGGAGTCAGTGCTAGAAACTAATATTCTCTGGCTCCATCCAAGGTCATCACTCTAGTCTGTGGACAGACAATGCCTGTGTGCACAAGAAAACTGCAAACAGGAATCAAGGCAAAATGCACTTCTCTAAAGGATTCAATCAGCTCAATCTTGTCCTTTCATAGATCTAAGGTATCTTGTTTCTGTCATTCATTCGTCTCTCTGCTTGTCTATCTCTAGGACACAGAAAGGTCCTGGCTTTGATTTTGTTGTGGCCCCTGAGAAAACCATCAGCATGCCTGCAAGTTTTAGCTTATGTTGTTCCCTCCACCTGCAGTATCTTCCCTCTTCTTGGTGAGTTCCTCAAACAAGTCCCAAGGGTAAAGGGGACCTGCAACTTGTAAAAGAGCACCCGGGTATCGGCTCACTCACCGAATGCTGGCCACTGCCAAGCAGAACCTGCACAGGACACAGCACCAGCCTCCAGGGAGCCCACCATGTAGTATGGGAGACAGACGTAGCAGGGAACTGTGGAAGTGCTTCTGGGCTCTGAGGAAGGTAAATCCGGAGCAGGGAGGCTGGCCCGAGGTGATCCCTGAGCCAAGTTCTCAAGGCCACAGAGGAGTGAGTCTAGCACGGGGGTTGGGTGTCCTGAAAGACATTCCATGGCCAGCGATGGGAAGGACAAGGTGATGACACAAAGCCAGCATGTTCTGGCAACTGTGACAAGTTGTGTCGCAGCGAGTGTGAAGCAAGACTGGGAGCAAAGTTGAGAATAGGAAGGGGCTGTGCGCCAGGTTAAGGGGTTATACTAAGAGGAGATGGGGGAGCCCCAGGAAGTTGTAAGCAGGGTGAGTGTTAAGATTGGAAGCAACACTCTGGCTGCAGTGTGGAGAAGGGATTTTACCCAAGTCTAAGGCTTTGGGCATGCTGGGGAGGGGAAAGAGCAAATCGAAGAAAAGAAATAATACTGCCTGAAAAGATGCTAAATGTCAAGTCCTTTTACATCTAAATATATTATACCATGAAGATCCCCAAAGCGCTCAGTTAGGTCCCGTTCAACAAAGGAGAAATCCAGGCTCAGAGAGGTCAACTGACTTGCCACAAGTCAGGCAGATGTTACACAGCCAAGGCAGGCGAGGTTGTTCTTCCTACTTTGCCGGGCTGCCACCCTGCACGCTGGCTGGGAAATAGGGTGTGGAGAGACATGATGTATAAGGACTAGCAGAGGCAAAACTGGGCAGGAGGCTCAGATGCCAGGTTGAGTCTGGACTTTACTCAACAGTCACACGAGAAAAGGGCAAAAGGTCAGCAAACACTTTCACTTAATGGATGTTAATATATTTCATGCCTTTCTCAGCCTGAGAAACTTATGCTCTGTCCCCTGCCTCCCTAAATACTGCCCCAGTGCCCAGAGGGGAAGCAGGTAAGGGCCGAGAACCCTTTTACACTGGGCTAGCTGCAGAGGGCAGATCCTGGATCTCTAGTTCCAGTGCTTTAGCCCATACGTTTGCACACCCCCCTTGTAATTCTCCAAGCATGCATGAAACCAGGAGCTGGTTCTTTGAAAAGATCAACAAAATCGATAAACTTCTGGCAAGACTCGTTAAAAAAAGAGAGGACCCAAATAAGCAAAATAACTAATGAAAGAGGAGAAATAACAACCAACACCAGAGAAATACAAACAATCGTAACAGAAGATTATGAAAAAATATATGCCAAAAAATTGGACAACTCAGAAGAAATGGGTAAATTCCTAGAAACATATAACCTACCAAAACTGAGCAGGAAGAATTAGAAAATTGGAACAGACCAATTACCAGCAACGAAATTGAATCAGCAATCAAAAAACTCCGAACAAGCAGAAGTCCGGGACGAGACAGCTCCACAGGTAAATTCTACCTATTCTTCTCAAGTTATTCCAAAAAATACAAGAGCAAGGAATACTCCCAAATTCATTCTATGAGGTCAGTGTCACCCTGATCCCAAAACCAGATAAAGACACCACAGAAAAAGAGAACCACAGACCAATATCTCTCACGAATATAGATGCAAAAAATCCTACACAAAACCTTAGCAAACCTAATTGAACAGTACATTAAAAAAAAATCATACACCACTATCAAGTAGGATTTATTCCTGGGATGCAAGGGTGGTTCCATATTTGCAAATCAATCAACATGATATATCACATGAATAAAAGAAAGGATAAAAGCCATATGATTATTTCAGTAGATGCAGAAAAAGCATTTGACAAAGTACAAACCCCATTCATGATAAAAACTCTCAACAAAGTAGGTCTAGAGGAAACATGCCTCAATATAATAAGGGCCTTACATGGAAAACCCACAGCTAACATCATACTCAATGGGGAAAAACTGAAGCTTTTCTCCTAAGGTCAAGAAGAAGACGACAAGGATGTCCACTCTCACCACTTTATTCAAACATACTACTGTAAGCCCTAGCCACAGCAATCAGACAACATAAAGAAATAAAAGGCATCCAAACTGGAAGGAAGAAGTGAAACTCATGTTATTTGCATTTGACATGATACTATAAATAGAAAACCCTAAAGAGTCCACCAAAAAACTACGAGAACTGATAAATGAATTCAGTGAAGTTGCAGGATATAATATCAATGTACAGAAATCTCTTGCATTCTTATACACCAATAATGAAGCAGCAGAAAGTGAAATTAATAAAACACTCCCATTTACAATTGCACCAAAACAATAAAATATCTAGGAATATACTTAACCAAAAAGGTGAAAGACCTGTACTCTGAGAACTATAAAAAGTGAGGAAAGAAATCCAAGATGATGCAAAGAATGGAAAGACATTCCATTCTGATGGGTGGGAAGAACAAATATTGTTAAAATGTCCATACTACCCAAAAGCAATCTACACATTTAATGCCATCCCTATCAAAGTACCAACAGCATTTTTCACAGAAGGAGAACAAACAATTCTAAAATTTGTACGGAACCATGAAAGACCTCAAATAGCCAAAGCAATCTTGAAAAAAACCAAACAAAACTGGAGGTATCATAATCCCAGATTTCAAGTTATATTACAAAGTGGTAGTAATTAAAACAGTATGGTACTGGCATTAAAACAGACCACATAGATCCATAAAACAGAAGAGAAAACCCAGAAATAAACCCACAACTATGTGGTCAATTAATCTCCGACAAAGCAGGAAAGGATATCCAACGGGAAAAAGACAGTCTCTTCAACAAATGGTGCTGGGAAACCTGAACAGCCACATGCAGAAGAATGAAACTGGACCATTTCCTTACACCACACACAAAAATAAACTCAAACTTTGGATTAAAGACGTAAATGTGAGACCTGAAACCCTAAAAATCCTTGAAGAGAGCACAGGCAGTAATCTTTCTGACATCGCCTATAGCAACATTTTTCTGGATATGTCTCCTGAGGCAAGGGAAATAAAAGCAAAAATAAACTATTGGGAAACAATCAACAAAACTAAAAGGTGACCTATGGAATGGGAGAAGATATTTGCAAATGACATATCTGACAAAGGGTTCGTATCCAAATATATGAAGAACTGATACAACCCAACCTCCAAAAAACCAAATAATCTAATTAAAAAGTGGGCCAAAGACCTGAACAGACATTTCTGCAAAGAAGACATCCAGATGGCCAACAGACACATGAAAAGATGCTTATCATCACTTATCATCAGGGAAATGCAAATCAAAACTACAATGAGGTACCACCTCAGCTGCCAGAATGGCTAAAATCAACAACACAGGCAACAACCAGTGTTGGCGTGGATGTGGAGAAAGGGGAACCCTCTTGCACTGTTGGTGGGAATGCAAACTGGTGCAGCCCCTCTGGAAAACGGTATGGAGGTTCCTCAAAAAATTAAAAATAGAACTATCTTATGATCCAATAATTGCACTACTGGGTATTTACCCAAAGAACAAAAATAAAAATTCAAAGGGATACATGCACACTGATGTTTATAGCAGCATTATTTACAACAGCCAAGATACTGAAACGGTCCAAGTGTCCATCGACAGATGAATGGACAAAAAAGGTGTGGTATATACATAATGGAATATTACTCAACCACCAAAAAGAATTAAATCTTGCCATTTGCAATGACATGGATGGAGCCAGAGAATATTTTGCTAAGCAAAATAAATGAGAGAAACACAAATACCATATGATTTCACTCATATGTGGGATTTAAGAAACAAAATAAATGAGCATGGGAGGGGGTTAAAAAGAGAGGCATACCAAGAAACAGACTCTTAACTATAGAGAACACACTGATGGTCACCAGAGGGGAAGTAGGCGAGGGGATGAGTTACATAGGTGATGGGGAGTAAAGACTGCACTTATCATGATGGAAAAAAAAAACCAAATAAATTTTAAAAAAAGAAAAAAAAAAAACAAAACAACAGTCTCCAAGCACCCCTCACACTTCCAAAACTCTTGTGTGACTTTGCTCACGACAGTATCTCGGCCTGAGTGTTTGGGTGTCAAAAAGAGTATATTTTGATGACCTCTCTCTCCCTCATGCTCGCTCATATCTCTTTCACTCCCTTCGAAGTCCGTTCCCAAGCCTCCACCTCACCTTCCTGGGCTGCTTTTAGCCAGAAGAGAAGAGATCCTCTCTTAAAATCTGTTCGGGGGAGAGGGCGGTGCTCTAGAATGGACACCCTCAAAGGAAGAGCCTCAGCTGGATTCGGTTTCTAAGTACCGGTCGTCCAAACCTCTGTGACATTCCCGTTCCCTTCTCTGGGTCTCAGTTGCCCCTTGAGTACAGTCTCCGCTCTGACACGAAAGGTCACGGTCTTCTCTGGCCCCTCTGGCCCTAATTCAGAAAGGCCCCTACCGAAGGCCCCACCCAGCCCCCTACCCTCCCGCCCAGTAGCCGATAGAACGCAGCCTCCAAGGGCGAGGTCGTGATCCTCACCCGTCCGTAGGTGATCCCCTGGTCAGCCTCAGCGCGCCTTCAGCTTGCACCCAAAGACCTACGGCCCCGGGAGCCACCCTTTTCTCCCCGCCCGCATGAGCAGAGGATCTGCCGAGACGCCTCCGCCAAGAGGATTGGCTCAGCTCGGCGCTAGCTCAGCCAATCGGCGCTCATAACATGATTCTGCCCAATGAAGCCAGGTCTCGGCTGTGAGCGCACAGCCCCCAAGCCCTGGGCCTGGCTTTTGTCCGGTTAGCCCCACCCACCACAGCCCTACGCCAATGGGGAGCGTCGCCGCGCGCGCGGGGCGGTGGGAACGGCGCCGAGGCAGTATGTACGTCGGTTGCCGTAACAACGGGCAGCGGGGTCCATCGGCAATGGTGAGTGGGGGCGGCCCTTTGGTGCCCCGCGCCCAGAGGCCAAGCTCTTTCCAGGCCTCATCTGGCCCTGCCAGCTCTCCTGCTCCGTTCTCGGCTTTGGAGTGACCCTACTTCCTCTGAGCTCTTTCCCGGAAGGGTAGGGTAGAGACGCCGGCCGCCCAGCTGGGCCTGTGATTCTCCGCTGTCTCCCCGTCATCCAGTCTGCGCCCCCCACCCCATCCCTCGGGCTCCCCTGGCCTTCCCCTGCCAGCCCCGTCGGTGACCGCCCTTGGTCGGAGAAAACTCGGGTTACCTGCATGCCCTGACCCTTCAGACCCTGGCCGCCTTGCGCTACCAAAGTTTACCCACAGAAACGGGGGGGGGGGGAAGGGAGGTTTATTATGTTTGTTAACGTGCATTCTAAATAAGTACAGGGACATTCGGGAGACGTTTTGAGCTTCTTGACGGAGGCACAGAGGTGTCGAATGGATTGAGTTTTATTATTCGGTACTGGCAGAATATACACCTTAGCTACGTAGTAATATTTAGCCAAATGTAGAAGTAATCACAAAGTCGGAGTACATAGAGGGAAGCGGACTACTGCGAGCAGGTGGCGTAAGGACATTTCTAGACTTAGGATCCCCAAATTCAAGGACAGCTGATTATCTGTACAGTTATCCACAGTCAGCTCCTTGGCTAGATCTCTTTGGGGATGATTTTCAATAAGAGATGCCCAAAGGAACAAGGGGTCTTCTTGCTTCTAGAAACAATAGGAAAGAAGAGGGAGGGATAGAGGTGCATGGAAAAGATTCATTGTTCTTTCCAGTAAAGCATATTCTTTCCTGTTAAGCAAAGCTTTGGAATTGCTTGGTGTAAATATTTTTAAAATACTTTGTAACTATTTTATGTAAAATATGGATTGTATTACATAATATTGTGCTTCTGTGTTTGTAAAATATCTAAAGGCCTCTAACTTTAAGAAGGCAAGCATGGCATCATCTGCCCAGCGAAAAAGGATGAGTCCTAAGCCAGAGCTTACTGAAGAGCAGAAACAGGAAATCCGGGAAGCTTTTGATCTCTTTGATGCTGATGGAACTGGGACCATAGATGTTAAGGAACTTAAGGCAAGCCCTTTACATTCCCGCTGTGCTGTTTTGCCTTTCCTCTACTTCTTTGTCTTCTTTCCCTGTTACTGCTCTACCCCTTTGGCCCTCTTCTCCTTGCAAAAAGTAACAGCAGAGTTTGTACTATGCTCTGTTTTCCTGTCTTTATTTACCTCAACTGTTATAAAATAAAATTGAGCACAGATATCAATCTGCATAATGTTATAGTGTTTCCTAGTCATTTTAACGTGATTGTGTCAGATGCTGGCTTAATGCTCTCAGTGTGTCATTTTTGCTCCTGCTAGGTTTAGATGTGCATATTGAGATAATCCTGTTTTCATTGTAGGTGGCAATGAGGGCACTGGGCTTTGAACCCAAGAAAGAAGAGATCAAGAAAATGATAAGTGAAATCGATAAGGAAGGGACAGGAAAAATGAACTTTAGTGACTTTTTGACTGTGATGACTCAGAAAATGGTAAGTTAGCTAGGATAACCAGCATATTTTCCACGCATAATAGTGAAGAAATTTGAATCTAGATATAAAAATGTCTTCACTGAAGAAAAGTTAATACAAACTGGAGGGTTCAGCTGAAAAAGGATGGTATTTATGACTGACAATTAGGATGCTTAGGTTCTACTTGGCTTTCTCCAAGGCCACAGAATCACAGGAAAAGTCCGTTTCCCCTCTGTAAACTCATAAAAGTATGACTGCTGTCACTCTTGTGATTATTTTTCTCTAACTGATACGTCACTGTGATAGCCACAAGCAGTAAAACCTGTAAACACCAGCAATATTGCACTGACTGACAAGACGAAATGCCTATACTTTAAAGGTCAAAATTCTTTTCTCTCTCATTTCTTGTTCTGGGCAGCTTTAGCCTGAGGGCAGGTTACTTCAACAGCTGTGTTTTTCATTGCACCGAATTTGGCCTTTCAGCACTTTCAAGGTTGAAGTCACCCATTGTCTGGTCCCACAGGTGTCACCATTTTACAGGATCCAGAGGGCCAAGAAAGACTCTGTCACCCGAACAATCCACCTCACTCCTCTGCATGCCATCCCACCTAGGATGTATGTTTATGTTCCCCTTGGGCCATTGCTCTTTCATTGGCTTTCTGGCTCCTCTTTTGTGTGGCTCAGCTATGCTCGACTGGCCTGTGGAAAAGTAACTCCATGTATATCTCAGGTCACGGGTCTGTTCCTACTCTGATAATTCTGTTGCTTTGAAAACATCTAATCATACCTATTTTTTGTGTGTGTCTACTAATTTAAGAGATCAGGAAGCTTCATGTTCTGTAACTACCTAGTAAAGCCGTCCCACATTGAGGGTTGGTTCCCAAATTGCTCTTATTAGAGGGATTCTCTCTATCTTTAGCTACCTTTCAGGAATTTCTGGAGTTTGAGTTCTTGGAGATTTTCCTTTCTTCCTCTTTTAGTACTTCCTCTTTATAGTACTTGGGATCCCAATAACTCTCCATGATCCCATAACAAGTTAAATAGCCCTCTCTGTCCTCCCTGCATCTCCCTACCCCCGCCAAGAAGATCCCTCTTCCACCAGCTTAAGCAGTATATTTCCCCTAGCTTTAACTGTACCTTCTACTCCTATTTCTCTTTGGTTTGTACAGAAAGAATGTTTTATATTTCCTTTTTAGCCGCTGTGTTTATAATAATGTCACTGAGTTTGTCCTCTTCTACCCTGGGTGATGTTTGATCTCCTGTGAGCTAGGACTTATGTCATGAAGGCCATCATCAAGACCATGTAAAGGGGTTAGGTGCTAGTGGGGTTGCTGCACAAGTAATTGCTCCTGTGTTTTCTGTTTTACTTGTTAAGTCTGAGAAAGATACCAAAGAAGAAATTCTGAAAGCTTTCAAGCTCTTCGATGATGATGAAACTGGGAAGATATCATTCAAAAATCTAAAGCGTGTGGCCAAGGAGTTGGGTGAGAACCTCACTGATGAGGAGCTACAGGTTTGTAAGGCATCAGACTGGAGCTCAATTCCTGCTTGGAGCCCCTGTGTGACTTCTCTGAGTTTCATTTTCTCTGATGTGAGCCCCACTGAAGGAAAAGTAGTGTTCTCTTGTCCCTCTGTTGACCACTTAATTTCTCCTTTGATAGCGTGACAAATCTATGTGCCCTGCTCCCAGAAAAATGCACACATGTACAATTTTACTTACTGTTTTAGGTTTTAGGAATTCCCCTGGACAGGATGATCTTCAAGTTCCCTTCTAGATGATATGTGTGACAAAGTATTGCTTGATTTTTAAATAATTTTTTGGGAACCAAGCTGTTATAAAAAGCGTATATTTGCATTGGGTGGACCACAACTGTCTATTCATGTAACATTATAAAGACCTATTGCTCAGTTATATTTTAGTTTCATTTATGAATTAATCTAAGCTGAGTCTTCATTATCCTGCAGGAAATGATCGATGAGGCTGATCGAGATGGAGATGGAGAAGTCAATGAGCAAGAGTTCCTGCGCATCATGAAAAAGACCAGCCTTTACTAAAATCAGTCTCTTCTTTTCATATTGTGTGAAACCTGGGTTTTGAGAACATAAACTATTTTCTCCTACTGACCTACCTGTATAACTTTAGTAACAATCTTGAATCTCTTTTAGGTATTTGAAAGTGTTCTTTGACATTTAAGTTCTCTTTAAGGTGACCTGCTGATTGCTTCAATTCCCCAGAGCAAAACAAAAGCACATTACGGTGGTGAAAAGGGTCTTAAAGCTTTCACCCACCTGCATTTCTGCCTTGTATCATCTCACTCTTGTCATGCATTTCCACACTGATGCCACCCAGAACGACTTCTTAGACAAGCACATGTTGTATCCAAGCCACCAGAAGCAGGGGGCATCTCCTTGATGTTTCTAGTTATAACTGACACCTGAGTGCTGCTTTCTCTTTTATAAAACCCAGTGAACTTACTCACGTGCATTTGGATGTGTGTTTGTGCTATTTGTTTTGTCTTAAAAATAAAGCCTTTCTTATTTTAAGCTTTTGTTTTCTAGGGATGAGTTCTTTGGCCTTGACTATGAGTTCATCTTCTAAACCACGTGTTGAAGGCAGCCTGGTAGATCCCCAACTCCTTCCCAGCCCATGGACAGAAAATGAAATCATCCTTTACTATTGACTTGAATTGTTTCTTGCCTTGGGAATCTGTCAGGGTTAAAACTAGCAGAATTTCCATTTCACCTACACCTAAATGCTGCCTTAAAAATAGTTTGGGCAAAGTGTAAGGCTGAGAGTCCTATTGGTAATTTGTGCTTGGACAAATTGGGGGCAGGCAAGTTACTATGACAGTAGGTTGAATTTAACCAACCTCTGGTCACTGTCTCAGAACTCAGTGTTAGATTGGGCTGAGTGACCTTGTCCAGCCCCCTCTTGGCCCTACATAGGATGACCTATAAGAGAAGCCCTGGCAGATAAAGTCTCTGCCCCAGGCTGAGGGTGGGGAACAAGAAGGGCCAAGGGGAAATGGAAAACCTGGAGATGGAGAGAATAGGTTTCAAACTTCTGGGGGCATCCTAATCCCAGGATAGGGTTGCCTGATTTAGATAGCAAAGAAAACACCTAAGGCAATGACAATTTTTTTTAGTATAAATATATCCCATTTGGACTTTTTGTTATTTATCCATTGTTG